ACACTTCCTCACGCCTGTGTCATCACGCACACTTCCTCACGCCTGTGTCATCACGCACACTTCCTCACGCCTGTGTCATCATGCACACTTCCTCACGCCTGTGTCATCATGCACACTTCCTCACGCCTGTGTCATCATGCACACTTCCTCACACCTGTCATCATGCACACTTCCTCACACCTGTGTCATCATGCATACTTCCTCACACCTGTGTTATCACGCACACTTCCTCACGCCTGTGTCATCATGCACACTTCCTCACACCTGTGTCATCATGCACACTTCCTCACGCCTGTGTTACGCACACTTCCTCACACCTGTGTCATCGTGCACATTTCCTCAGAGACTTGGCTGCTTCTCTTTCAGTTTTGTCCCAGAGCTCTTAGAGATTTCATTCTGAGGAGAAAGAATATTTTTCTTTCCCAAAAAGGTATTACAAGGGTTATATTAAGAATCAGTGGCCAACTGGGTGGTGGTGGCGGCGGCGGCGGCGGCACATGCCTTTAGTCCCAGTACCTGGGAGGCAGAGCCAGGCGGATCTCTGTGAGTTCAAGGCCAGCCTGGGCTACAGCCTGAGTTCCAGAACAGGCTCCAAAGCTACACAGAAAGCCTGTCTCAAAAAACAAAAACATAAGAAAACAAAAAAAAGTGGCCAAATCAGTGCTTCCAAGAAGAAAGGTGATTATAGAAATAAATTTAAACTCTTCAGTATTTAAATTTTTATTTTGGGATTTAAAGAAACTTATTTGTGGGTATGAGTTTTGGTCTGAATGTATGCTTGTGTACCACATGCATGCAGTGTCTAAGGAGGACACAAGAGGGTGTTAGGTCCCCTGGAACTGAATTACACACAGTTGTGAGCCATCACATGAGTGCTAGGAATTGAACCCAGGATCTCTAGAAGAGCAGTCAGTGCTCTCAATCTCTGACCCATTTTTCTAGGTCTTCTTCAATATTTTCAAATATTACTGCATTATATCTAGTCCCTATTCGTCATAAGATGGTTAGTATGCTCAGATTCAAGGGCAAGTCCTGTTTGCTGTGTGGATCACTTGTTGTCTGAATATGGATTTGCAAAGTAAAGACCTTCCTACTTAGTGTACTTGCTTAGTACATTCACTGATATTTGTAACACGGATGCCATAGACTGGTCTGTGTTTTCCCCCACAGTTTATATTTTAACTTGTGCATTCTAGGCAAGCACTCAAACACTGAGCAGTGTTGTGCGTGTCCTGGTTCTTAACTCTTAGTTCAAAGGGATGAATCGGTGGAGAAAATACCCTAGGGTGGTTGAGCTGATTGCTGGATTTGGTCTGCTTGCTTACTAAACATTGTTCTCAGTAGTTTGGAAAGTGGGTCAGAGTGTAAGAGTGCAGAGTTCAGATGTTATCACTGCTGTAAGTTGCACAGTTTCTCTTAGTCCTAGCCTAGAGCTCTAATAAGTAGATTGAAAAAGCAAGACTAACTTAATTGACCACAGAGTTTATGAGTGTTTTGTGATCAGAAACTTGACTTGATTGCAGTAGAGTTTTTATTTTGACTTTTACATGTCGATGGATAGTCTAAACTAAGGCAAGCTGCAATTCACCAGAAACTTTGGTTTGCTTGACATTCTTTCTATTGAACACGATTGAACTTTTGGTAAGGGTGCTAAAAATTGTAGACTAATTGTTTCTTTAAAGCTTGATAGGTCACCAAAGGCATTTGCAGAACTAATGAGATGTTTACAAAATTATTGGGTTGCAACCTAAGTGATTTTCAGTTTATGTGTCCAGCTAATAATGTTTTCTATTTATTTTATCTCTCAAATTCTTTGTATCTTATGTTTTAAGATACAAAGATATTGTTATATTTTAAGATACAAGGATATTGTTATTTAAGCTAGCACACAGTGACAGGGTTTTTAAGTTATGTTTTTCTGTTGCTGTAATTACGTACTCTAACAAATGTGACTTCAGGGAGAAAGGGTTTATTTTGACTCACAGTGGAAGGCTAAAGTCCTTGATGACGAGGGAATCATGGCAGAGGGGCATGAGGAAGTTGGTCACATTTCATCTGTAGTCCAGAAGCAGAGTGATGATTGCCTGGGCAAGCTCACGTCCTCTGTTTTACACAGTGCAGGATCCCAGCCCAGGGAATGACGTACCATAGTGGGTGGGTTGTTGGCTGGCTCTAATTCCTGGTAGTTATGTCCAGAGGCTCTTCTTATCAAGGGGACAATTGAGATTACCATCATAGTTTCATTTCAGCATTTCTATACACATATATCATTTTGTCTTTTTCTTGCATGTCTTATTTTTTTTCATCTCTCTGCTTTTTTTCCTTTCTTATTACCTTTCTTTTTCACTTTTAATTGTTGGTGTTTGTTTCTGCAGTCCTGAGGCTGGAAACCTGAGTCTCTTGCATGGTAGGCGAGAGCTGTATCACCGAGTTTATATCCCAGCCCGGAGGCCTTTTGTATTTTCTGTTTTTTTTTTTTTAAGTTTCCTTTTATTTATCATTACTGTTGTGTGTGCAGGATGTGTATGTGGGTGTGTGTGTAGGTCAGAGGCCAGCTTTTGGAAGCTGGGTCTCTCTTCTGGGAACTGCAGCAGCAGGTGTGTTAACCTGCTGAGTCATTGTGCTGGCCCTGTTTGGAATCACTGTTATTTCCTTACCTGACTGTACTAGGAAATTTAAATATTACTTAGTGAAAAATTATTGAAAGAAAATAGTATTGCTAGCAAAATACTTTTCTTTCTATAAAGTTATTAACTTATTGCTTTTCCTAATTTTTATTATCATGTTTCTTTGATTTTCTTATTTCTCTCTCATTGCCTTTAGTCATCTTGATACTTTGATAATAAGGAAAAAGACAGGAAGTTGAAAACTAATGGGTTAATGAATTTTCTTTCAATTATTTATTTTTATTTTTTAAGATTTATTTATTTATTATGTATACAATGTCCTGCCTGCATGTATGCCTGCACACCAGAAGAGGGTACCAGATCTCATTGTAGATGGTTGTGAACCACCATGTGGTAGCTGGGAATTGAACTCAGGACCTTTGGGCGAGCAGCCTGTGCAATTAACCTCTGAGCCGTCTCTCTAGCCCCCTTATTTGTCTTTCTTAAGGAAACTGATTTTCACAGTTGAACGTGCACACATATGTGTACCGTACATTCTGGTTACTCTCCCCCCACGCTTTCACATTTTCCTCCCATTGTCATCGACCCCATTCTCCCTAAAAAGTCCTTTCCGAAGTCCTTTCCATGGCTTTTGTTTAGTTGTGTGACCCACTCAGTTTAACCAGGGCTGTCCACATGAGCATGAGTGTGGAACTTTTCCTCATTAGTTTTCTAGTGAAGCCATGATGATATTAATAAGACACCAGGGCTTCTGCAGTCTTGAGACAGAAGTAACACTGTGTAACCTGGCACAGTGTACGCTAAGGCTCAGGTCTAAAA